AATCGCATAAGGCCACGTATATGATATTGGTTAGAATACAAGTATATGATATTTGTAAGGAAAAGAGTTAGAATTATTTAAATGTATTAATAATTTTCAAGAATAGTAATTCTCATACTATATCTGCACATATTATGATTTGTCTGTTGAGAAGAATTGCTTCCTTGGTTTTCACAAGCAATGAGGTGTCATTAGTGAAGTAGGAGATTTTGCATGCATGTGCTTGTGTGTGCATGTGCATGCTTGTGCTTGTAAGGATAAAGTGCATATTAGGATAAGGTTATGATTATTTTTCATTTTTTACTTTGAAACACACTGATTATAATGTTTTGGTATGACAACAGATATGATAGTTTAGTTATACTTGTGATCCACGATGGTACAATGTTGCCTGAGAGCAACAGCTGGATTTGAAATGTTATTTTTTATTAAATATGAGATGTGCAATACATTAAAATCTAGATAAATCTGTTTGTTCAAGTGTTTGGTTAAAGAAATTGATGTTTTCAATAAATATATTTATTTTTTCTGCATGAAAATGTCAAATGTTTCAATTTGTCCATTGTGGTACAGTGTTGCCTTGAGGCAACAAACTTAAAAAAAAATAAATAAATAAATAATTAAAAAAAATAATACAATTTTATTGATATTGTTATAGTGTCCAACCTTAAGTAGGAAAAACATCACAAATATTTTTTTCCTCTTTGATATCATATTCCGTACCGTAGAGGGTTAAATAAGTGTTAACATTAAAGGTTATAGGCCTTACAGACAGACAAACAATTGTGTTTAAAATGTCACCAAATTGTACTCAATACAAATACACTACAGTTCAAAAGTGTGGATCCGTAAGTTTCTGTAAGTTTTTTTTAAATTTTTTTATTAATACTTTTATTCAGCAAGAATGAATTAAACTGATCCAAACTGCCATTAAAGAAATATATGTTGTTATTGTTACAAAAGATAACTAATTCAAAGAAATGCTGTTCTTTTGAACCTTCTATTCAACAAAGAATCCTGAAATATATTTTGAACATTTATAATAATAATAAAAAAAAATTCTGGAGCACCAGATCAGCATATTAGAATGTTACGCTGAAGACTGGAGTAATAGCTGCTGAAAATTCTGCTGTGCCAGTACAGGAATAAATTACATAAAATATTTAAAAATGGAACACTTATTTTAAACTGTAGTAATATTTCACAATATTACTGTTTTTACTGGTATTTTTGATTAAATAAACAGCATAAGAGCATAAGAGACTTCTTTCAAAAAAAAACAAAAAACTTTTGAGTGGTAGTGTAAACTTCTTTATTAAATTATACTTTATCTTCATCTATACTTTATCTAGGGTGAAAAAAAAAACACTTCATTTCTAAGAATTTTATTACTGATGAATGTCATGACTTCTGTGATGAAATCTTATCAGGATCTCTTTAATGCCAGAACCAATGGTACTAAAGTAACTAAGTATGGACCAGTATTAATCTAGATTATTATCTCAAGATGTCAGTAAGTCAGTACTTTTGCTCTTAATAATATTTAAATTTGAACATAACCAAAATGTGATGTTTCAAGTAAAATGTGTTTCATAACTTAAAAATACATAAGTTTGAATGTGTATGCTTCACTTGATCTGTTGCAGAGATGTCTAACCTCAGAAAGAGCTTCCTTTGCAGCCTTTGTCTGCTCAGTCTGAGGGATGATCTGAACTTCATACAGAGATATCTGCTCTGAGAGCTTTTCCACATGCTTGATCAAACGCTCAACATAAAGATCCTGACAGAGAGAAAGAGAGAGATGTTTGAATGAACGTATAGCTTTAATGAAATGGAGAGAATGCATTATATATATAACATATACATATAATGTCTGGTTAAAATCATTATATAAGCATGCTAATATATACTAAAATAGCAAACCACATGACATGGTCACATTTAACCACAATCATGCACTCTAGAACTCCACCTGCTGGTGTTTATTCTCCTCTGCCTGAGTTCTCGCTTTCTGGGCTTTGTGTGAAGCATTTATTATGGCTTTGATGTCTGAGCGCAGGTCAGTATTGGCCTCCTGCATGTAGAACAAATTCAGGGCCAGGTTGTCCACTTTAGACTGTAATTCAGAAACTATAAAGAGAGCACAAATGATAACAAGACTAACTGAGATTGTTGAGTGTTAATTGTCTGAAGATGAAGTCTGCACCACTAAAATTGTAAAATAATTATTTCTAAATCCTTTTTATCCTATCTGCTATTGTTCAACAGGTAGCCCCCTCACAAACTGAAGCTATTGGTTAAGCTATTGGTTACTATGTTGCACTGATTGGGATGATATCTGAATAACAGGGTTTTACAATGCCAAAGAGTCACAATGTTTTTGGGGTAAATCAACTTACTTATGAAAGAAGTATTGTGCATATTATGTTTATTTGTCAGTTTCTTAGGGGAAGTTGTGGCCTAATGGTTAGAGAGTCGGACTCGTAACCCAAAGGTTGTGGGTTTGAGTCTCGTACCGGCAGGGATTGTAGGTGGGGGGAGTGAATGCACAGCGCTCTCTTCCACCTTCAATACCACGACTGAGGTGCCCTTGAGCAAGGCACCGAACCCCCCAACTGCTCCCGGCGCCGCAGCATAAATGGCTGCCCACTGCTCCGGGTGTGTGTTCACGGTGTGTGTGTGTTCACTGCTGTGTGTGTGCACTTTGGATGGGTAAATGCAGAGCACTAATTCTGAGTATGGGTCACCATACTTGGCCACATGTCACGTCATGTCACTTATTTGAAAAATCATAACTAATGAACAATAAGAATAATATAAATATAAATAATCATCTTAAAAATGTGCTGTTGGTTACTCTACTGTAATTGCATTCTTGTTCAAAATATTTTTGTTAATTGAAATAAAGCTGAAATAAAAAATATTAGATGAAAAACAAAACTAAATTGAAATTAGAAATGTTGCCTAGGCAATTAAAAAAAAGTTGAAGCACTAAAATTACTAACTGGAAATAAAAACTGAAACTGAACTAAAACTGAAATAAAATAAAACAAACAAACCTAAATAGTAATATTTTAAAAATAAATGATTAATAATACTACTAATAATAATAAATGACAAAAAATCACAAAAACAAAACTACAAAAAAAATTGAATAAATAAAATAAAAACAATATATAAAAAATAAAAGCTAACTAAAAATATGAACAAAAAAAAATACTCATATAAATATACAAAATAACACTGGTTCATAGATCTTCTTCTCACCTTGCATACGTTGTTTGTTAGCCTGACTGGTAGCATCTTGGTACTGATTTTTTACGCCATCCAGCTGGTCTTGGGCCTGTCTATGCTGAGCAGCAGCCTGGGCATTAGCCTCATGACTTGCCTCCAGAGACGCCTGGAGTCTGGCCAACATCTCATGCACCATGTATACTTCTTCAGCAAGTTCATGACGTTTCTGAGCCTCTGCCTTTTCCACTACTATCTGCAGCAGAGCAGTAACGAACAGTTTCTGTAGCCCTTGTTTGTATGCAAGTGTGTGTGCATATATTTCCCAAAGTACAGATGAAATTTCTGCCCAGTGTGCACGTGTCGTTACACAAAGATGGATCATATCAAACATTTTCAGAGAAAAATACGAAGAAATTTTTTTTTTCTATTACCTTCTCACGGAGCTCAAGGTTCAATCTCTCTAGCTGATTTCTGAGGTTGTTTTTCAGTGCAGACTGGAATCTTTTCATTAAGGGCTGATGGATATAAAATGTACAAAACATGAGACCGGGGGTATCAGAATTTTTTAAATTTTTTTTTTACTGCTTTAGCCAAAAAAAAAATCAAGTTTACTCACATGCTCAGGATCCAACACTACAAGTTCTTCCTCTTCGTCATCTTCCTCACTGACACTCCCTTCTGCCTCGGTGCCACTGATCGCCAGCTGGAGGGAGTGCTGTCCACTATGCCCAGCTGTGAGTCCACTGGTCTCAGCATGATCAGTGCCTCTGTCATAATGGTCTGACTGATCCATCGATTCCCCCTATGAATAAAATCATTAACAAACCTTCATTCTATATTAAAACCAACTGAGTTTACATTGCAAGCCCTGATTGCTAGGACAATGGGAAAACTATAGCAAAACGCTGTTATTCACTCTGATATAATCTGTATGATTAATGTCTTTAGTAATGTAGTGTTAAACTGATACAAGTGAAAGGTTCGTGTAAGACTCTAGACCTCCTGAGGCTCAGTAAATTCATCAGGAACCTCTTCCTGCCTGTTAATCTGATCCGCCGGTGTCGGCAGACCTTCATCACACCCACCGCCTTCCAGCTCTTTATAATCAAAAATAAAGTACCGTAATTCAACACAGACACACATATATAAGACATTAACAGGGCATTACGGAGTAACTGTTAATTGTATGTTAGATCATTTTAAATTATCACCTGTTTCTTTTGTATCCTGGTCCTGAGTAGCAGAGAGTAACAAATCTTATTTTTCAATATTTATAATAAATATTTTTTTCAAAGATCGAAAAAATTATTGTTCAATTTCCAATAATTTCTGGTATCACAATTTAGCAGCGCGAGACCTGCAGTGTTTCTTTTTCATCTCCGTTGCTAGGAGACGCCACACTTCCGGATTCGCTACTCTTTATAAGGAAGACAATCAATCTGAAAAAACTCAAGCAACAAGATATAAAACATAGCAGAGGTCCTAAAAGTATTTTTATCTTCATTGTCACTTCCTTGTTATCTTGTTCGTTTACCTTCTTTAAAGACAAAAGACTCTTTAAGGCCGCATATTAGGTGACAGTGTCTGTTAGAACGATTTTTTAAAATACAAACAGATGTAACAAAATGACAGTATATCATATCATTTGTTAGAACGAATATAAAGGTTACAGGTTTTATTTTAGTACTTTTTTTCCTGCCAAACTTTTGTTCCACACTCCAGTCCAGCAGGTGACAGTAAAGCACCTATGCCAACCGCCAAAAACGCTCAAGAAGAAGAACAAGAAGTGCGCTAGAATGGATGTTAGGACAGTAACATAGTGAGCTTGATGAATGAGTACACTTCTGTGGGTCAGTATTTTTAAAACAGTTTGATTATTTACTCTCTTGTCACGTGTTGAGATTTGTATTACGTTCGTGTTAACAGGACAATGTTTTACTCATAGCTGAGTTGACATGGGTGGATATGTCATTCCATTCTAACAAAAAATGCCTAAAAGAAAGAATACCATAATAGTACAATTTTGTGTCGTAGTAGTATGATCATGAAAAGCAGTTTCATGACATGTACCACAGTATCTTTGAAATACTTTGCAAAGTATAATGTAAATATCAGACTACATGAACATGATATTCATTCAGTACCATGGTATAGTATAAGGCAGTGTTTCTCAACCAGGGGTCCGTGGACCCCTAGTGGTCCTTGACGTAAGGCCAGGGGGTCCGTATAAAGTATGAATTTTTGTATATATTTTGTATATTTTGACATGACTTGTTCCCATGAAAGAAAAATCCAATATAGCTGATGATATGGCCAAATACTGGACAAGTCAGCTAACTTGAATTATACTTGACTGTATTTGGTCCTCACAAAGACACAAATGATACATAGATGAGTCAGTTTTGTTCTGGGGGTCCTTGAGGATGGTTCTGAATTGGACTGGGGTCCGGTACGCCAAAAGGTTGAGATGCACTGGTATAAGGGACCCTATATAAAATTACTGTTTGTGAGTGCAGCCTCTTCTGTTTTGTGAATTCCCAGAAGAGATGAAGGTTAAAATAAAGCAGTGGAATGGTGTGGCGTCGTGGTTGTGGGTGGCCAACGATGAGAACTGCGGCATCTGCAGAGCACCTTTCAACGGCTGTTGCCCAGACTGTGGGTAACCTGATTTCACTTGATCTACACTGCCTCCTGTGCCTTTTTGTGCAGTTTTGTTACGAAGTCCTGTTGCTGTTTAAGTTCTACTTATGTAGTTGAAGAAAATGTAATCAGCATTACAAAATGAAATGTACTCTCTGGTTTTAACAGGTAAGGTCCCAGGAGATGATTGTCCGTTGGTTTGGGGTCAGTGCTCTCACTGTTTCCACATGCACTGCATCCTGAAGTGGCTGAACTCTCAGCAAGTGCAGCAGCAGTGCCCAATGTGCCGCCAGGAGTGGAAGTTTAAAGAGTGAGCTCGCCTGTCAGGCAACAGCACAATACCTGGATTTTCACTGTGAACTCTGTATATATGTTTTTTTTATTATTATTTTTGGACTGCTATCATAGTAATGAATGTTCTTTTTTTTATTCAGGGGAGACACTTCCTGAGGAGATTAAATAATTGCACACTCAGATCGATTCTTTTGTTTGTTTATTGTACAATGGTATATTTTACATCCTACAGATGTAGAATTTTGATTAAATATCCCACAAAATGAAAATATTTTTAAAAACACATGGTATGGTTTTGTACAAAGAAGCTGATATCACTGATAAAGTAACTGCATTTTGCAGTCCAACAGTCATTTTAAATTATGAACACAGTACAGAATGTCAGTGTTTCCCAACCGGGGTGCCGCCTGTCGAAAGCAGGGGTGCCGTGTAAAAAAATCTTTTTAAATATTTTTAAATTGCTAAAATGTTCAAAAAAACATCTATTATATAATATCCATTTCTGATGTCGCCAATAATTAGAGATGCACAGAAATTTCGGCTGCCGAAAATTTGTTCACCGCTCAGGTTTCATATATATATATATATATATATTTAAAAAAAACTTAAATTCTGATATAGCAGATATTAATAAACTACCAACTATATTATATTAAGTTGCATAAACCACATGATATACGAGTAAACCATTTATTATGTGGTTTATGCAATGGTTGGAAAGAGTGGAGTA